CACAAGCTTCTTAAGTACTGTGGATAATTGACGCTCCGGGCGCTGCTGTCTGGCGCGCAGGGCGGGGCGGGGGTGGAGGAGGCTGCGCCGGCACCTGGAGACGAGGCCGCTGCGGCAGCCGCCCGCACCACCGGCTACGAGCCTTCGCCGCTCTCGGTGCAGGTGCGCGGCATGCGCACGGGCGGCGACGCGCAGGCGCGCATCCAGGGCAACATGCTGCTCGCCTTCAACACGCTGATGCCGCGCCTCGACGCCGTCTACGCCTCGCTCTCTGCGGCGGCGCCCGACGGCTTCGAGGAGCGCATCAACTATTGGCACCGCGAGTGCGGCCTGCCTACCGAGCTGCGGAGCCAGCTGCACTCGCTGCGCATCTGGGCGAACGCGGCGAGGCACCACGACGCGGCGAGGTGGAGGAGGGACGGGCCGCGGAGCGAGGGGGAGGCGTCGCGGCTAGTTGCCGAGGTGACGGAGGCGATCGGGGCGATCGAGGGGTAACATTTGTGTGTACGAGTGTTCCTCGAGGTCGTATGGTACACCGTCGTCGGTGTGTACAAGCTACGGCTTTTTAGCCCCCAGGTGTGAGGGATTGGAGGAGGACAGGGTCCCACACTAGAGGGTCGACAGCGTCACCTAATCTAAAATCTGAGGAATTCAGGCTTGAGGCATGTCGCTTCAGTGAGGCCAAAGTGAATTATGGATGTGTGAGAACGGTACGGAACACGAGGTAGGGACACAATAAGCTCGCAGTGCTGGTACGCACAGCTCGACGCGTACTCGAATGCTGCCACTGTCATTCTAGCCGGCGAGCGGCGGCGTCACAGCGTCGACTCTCACATTGCGATGACGGAGGATGAGACGCACTGCTTGCCCAGACGCGCGCCTCGGCGCGCTCGCAGGAGGAAGGCCAGCGGTCGTGCTGCGCAGGCCGTCTGGCTGAAGGGAGCAGCAGCTGGCGCTCAACAGCAGCGCTGGCGAGCGGCGCAGTCACACCACTCTCCCGCCATGGCCACGTGTCATTTCGCTCCAAGATTTGGCGCCAAAATGGCACTTTAGTGTCCACCTAGCCACGTGGTCCCACATCATAGGGCTCCATTTGGCTCACTCATTTGGTGGCACCGTCCAATCGTTCGCCGATATCCGAAACCGGGGTGTCCCTAAATAACTTTTCCAGGAGAAGGTATCTTAATTGCGGCGTGCCCGTGCCGCATTTTCTTTTTTTCTTGGTGGGCTGCCCATCACAGCGGCGCTGCAATCCGGCTGCAAAGCTGAGGGCGCCTCTTGCTGGGGCGCGCAGCTGAGTGCCGGGCTTCTCTCCGATGCAGGCATCTCCGAGCTTCGAAGTGCACTCGCAGCCTGCGACGCCGCGGGTGCTGCCGAAGAGCAGCAGGCATGCAAGCTCGCGACGACGCTCTTCGAAGACGGCGGCGGCGGCGGCATTGGCAGCGGGAATGGCACAGCGACGATCGTGGTGATCCCTGACAGTGGATTCGCGTGTGTCGGCTTGAACGTGTTTGTTCAGCGCGCGGGTGGGATGAACCTGAGTGGGATGCTCGAGACCTATCTTACTGTCGGCGCGCACGCCATCGTTGCGCGGATGGGTGCCGATGAGCTGCAGCATGTTCACCTCGCACCGCCAGAGGGGTTCTCAGCCATCGTGGGCCGCAGCGCAGCTGCTGAGTGTCTGATGGCGTTTCCCGGCATGGGGGGTGGGGACATGATGCCTCCCCCGGCCGCCTTTGGCCCTTCCTTGATTGGCGCCTGGGCAGTCTACCAGCCAGGGACGTACGCCGTCTACGTCATGGCGAAGGCTCGTGCTTTCGCAGACGCGCCGGCTGGCCTGCTGGCGCCCACCTTCTTTATCTCGACCGCCCTGGGGCGGTGATGCGCGGGCGCGCTCCTCACGTGCGATGACTCCGATCTCCGACACCTCCGGCTCCCTTCCCTATGGGGCACAGAGACGCAAGCCGAGCGCGCGGCGCGCGGCACAATCGTCAATCGACGAAGGAATCGAAACCCTTTTGTTTGGTACAACACGCGTCGCCGGTGACTAAAATTTTCTGTCAAATACTGAGGGTGCCACTGCAATCCGTCACATGACACATGCTCATGTTCATGATCATGTGCTGGTACGACTCGTCGTGGCTCTGACTCTCTCCGACATCGTCGGCACATGTCGGCTACTCCTGCTTTCTGCTTCCGGCATGCAGAGCCTCGGTCAGCCACGGCCCGATGGACCGGGCGCGTGCCTTTCCGTTCCGATTGCAGACCCTCGTGGGCGTCGCCGCCCGCCTGATCGCATCGACCTCGGCGGCCGCCAGCCAGCGGTAGACTCGGAAGAGCATCTCGTTGCCGAGGAGTCCAAACAGGTGGAAGCAAGCCATCTCCTCGAAGGCGCCCTGCCAGAGACGCGCGCCCTCGGGCAGCAGCCCCGCCGCGCGACAGAGCGCCTCGAGGGCGGCGTGCGTCCAGTAGGTGAGCCCGGTCTCGGCTCCCATCAGCAGGCCCGAGTTTCCAAACCAAAAGACGAGCCCCGACAGCGCGCCAACGAGGAGAGGGTGGGCGTCCTCGCCGCGGCGCAGCCAGCGAGAGAGCAGCTCGTGGCGCCGGCAGAGGAGCACCAGGAGCAGCCAGATCGACGAGAGGGGCGGGGTCACGTTTGCCCCGCCGCACAGCACGTACGACTCAAACGAGGCCTCGAGGTTGCGCAACGCGAAAGCGAGGGCATGGGCGGCGCCGACGGCGTACAGGACCGCCGGGAGCACGCGCGGCACCGAGGCGAGGCCGCCGAGCATCCCGGCGAGGACGCACCACCACGAGCCAACGAGCAGTGCCTGTGCGCCGCCGTTCAGTCGGAAGAGCGTCTCGAACGGCGGCGCGCGGCTGCCGCCGGGCTGTAGCCACAGCACCGCGCCGCAGGTGGACCACAGGCCGTTGCTCAGTAGCGCTGCGAACGCCGCCCAGTGCATCACCGAGCCGCCGCCGGTCCGGCCATAGCTCCACACCTTGAAGGCGTGGAAGAGAGCGTGGCACGCCAACGCCGCATCGGTAAAGGAGGCGGCGTGGCAGTCGGCGGAGCAGGCGACAAAGCCGAGGCGGAGCGTCTCGACGCCGAACTCATGCACACTGTGGCAGCTTGGGAGCGGGTTCATCTGCCAGGCGAGGTGGCCTTGCTCAATATAATGCGGAGCTCGTGCTCGAAAGAAGAATTCAACTCAGGCCAAGGGCGTGGACTGGCGCACACTAGCACACACATCGGCACACCACCGGAGCCGCCTAAGCGACTCCGTTAAACCACATCACGCCCTTTATCAGCTGTGTTCGCTCGCTGTGCGCTCTCCCGTTGCGCCGTTGCTTAATGTATTATGTTGCTGGCTACTCTGGAGTCCTCCTGGCTGCTCTCCGCCCACCAGCCGGCCACAGGCCGTCAGTCTCGCTGGCTGGCGTCGAGAGAACGGCCAGACTCGACCGACCGGGTCTCGTGCCGCTGCCTGCTTCTCGCGCCGCTGTAGCAGACTACAGTCTACAGTCGGTTGCGTGCGGGCATTAAGAAAACGTCGCATTAAGAAACCCTACCAAGCGATTTCCGCAAAAGTCTAAGAAACCACGGCGCGCCGCAGGCGCGGCCCCGAGAATTTAACAAAATCAACTCACACTCTCACAGGTTGTCACAGCAGACAGGCTCGACGACAGGTGCGGACTGGCGCGTTCTAGCACTATCACCCAAGAAAGGGCCCACACACGAGTGTGAACAGGAGCCCCGCTCAAATTTTCTCTTCGCCTGCGGCGCGCGCACTTGCTTGTCATTTTGCCCAAGTCTGCGGTTGTTCTGGGCGGTGTGGATGGAGGTGTGTGCGTCTTCCTGTCATCCCAAGTGGGTGGCAGACTGCGGACTTGCGACATCGGTCCACGGCGCTTCCTTATGTTGTCGTTTACCGTTAAAAAATCCTAGATCCCGGCTGACCTGGGGTGCCGGCCGAAGCTAAGAAACCACGGCGTGGGGTGGGTGGGGTGGGGTGGAAAGGCTTAGAAACGGCGGCGTGCCGTGCCGCGGGATCCTGCTTTCTTAATGCCCGCAACCGACTGTAGCAGAGCCAGCAGCTTGGCCGCGCATCCTTCACACACGCCGCCACGACCTAGCTGAGCGGGCCCGGTGTCGAGTCATGGTGCGAGCTGCATGTCCATGTGGAGGGGCGGGTTTGGCCACAGCAGGTCCACCAGCCAGACGGACCTCAAAGCTTGCCAATGCACTTAAGCTCCGTGCACAATGCCGCTCTCCCCGCGCGCTAGCTCGTTCACCGTCTGCCACGCCACGGCAGTGGAGAACAATGGACAAAAAAAGGTGCACGAACGACAAACGTGCGTCTCTCTCGACGCCGAACCGATGCGGGACGATAAAGTCAGCAGTTCACATAAACGCACAACCCCGGGCCCGAAATCGCAGAGAGACAGTCACGCAACACGGGGTCCCAGGCAAAGCGAGCAAAAACCTTATCGCAGTTCACCCCATCTCGCACTTGGAGTCCCCATCCCGAACTCGTTTCTCGCCCTAAATTCGAGCAGCCACTCTTCGCGCCGCCAATCACGGAGCGCGCCTGCGCCGGAAATCTAAAGCTGTGCACGTCGGGGTCTATTGGTGGTCGCTGCTCTTGTCCGTGTAAGGGATGCTCGCCGTGCTCGCCGCCGCGTCCTCGTCGCTGCAGGACACGGTTGGCGGGCCGGAGTGCTCACCATGCCGCTTGCCATACATTGGCGAGCCGCCTGTCGGGAAACGCAGGGCTGCCATCCTCATCGAGGGCCCCTGCGACTTTTGTGGCGCAGATGGGAGATGCTGCTCGCAGGACGCCGCCGGCTCACCGGGTTGTGTCGGCGGTGTCGATGTCTGGCAGCCCTGCGGCGTCGAGCGCTTCTGCTGCTCGTCGACGCCTCCTCGTCCTTACGCCAGTGGCGACGACGCGGGGCCTCTCCTTCCCCGGCCGCAGGTCGACAACGCACTCTCCGCTCCCCGCCTCTCTCCTCCCGCCAGCCGCAACCACCGAACCTCTCTGCGCACAGGTGCTGCTCTTGCTACTTGCCGTCGGCATCGCCGTGCTCGTCGTCGCCGCCGCCGCCGCCTCGCGGGTGCTCGCGGTGTGCCACAGAGGCCTCTCGCCCGTCCAGTCCGCCAGATACGCCTCCGGCGTAAGTGTAGGCGCGCACGCCGCTCGGTCTCACGAGAAGCGTCTCCGCCTTCCGTCCCTATATCCCCTACTCCCCGCGGCTGGTTGAGGGTGGACTGCCGACGACGGCTGGCCGGCAGGCGCCGTACCAGCCGCTCAACGAGGAGGGAGAGCGGATCGATGAGGGTGGGGTGAGCCCCGACCGAAGTCCAAAAAGCGAACCTGGGCGGTGATGTGGCCAGGAGTGCTGGGCTCGGGTATGTCTTAATGCTCCAGGGCGTGCACATCAGACATCTCACAGTCCCTGCCTGTGTAATACCTAGGGGTTTCTCGGGACTCTGGAGGTGTGCTAGTCGCTATGATATTTTTTTCTTTTTTCTCTCCCTCCAAAAGACCGAAGGGTGGCGGGGTCCAGACTCACACAAGTCCCACACACGGACGGCCGCCAAACTTGTCGGCGAGCCGCTCTCCGCCGCCGCTCCTCGCTACAAACCATGATGGTGTGTGTGCGCGTCACCCTCCCCCCCCCACACACACACACAACGAGCAGCACCCTCCCACCACGACTCGTCGCTGCGCCTTTCTGTTCTGTGTGCGGCGGCGAGCCAAGTCGGGCTCGATCTGGTAGCCAACCACTGCAAGGACATGCAGTTGTAGCCGTTGACCAAATCGCGATGTTCGTCGTCGGTGTGCCGTGTGCCTTTACTTGTTGTTCTTCTCGAACTTGGCGGAAGGGTATTCAATTATGAACCCTTCTGGAAAGCATTGAACGTGGCAATCCGTTTCAGCATTGTTCTTCTCGAACCACACTTTGCCTTCGAGGTCCTCTTTCGTCCAGCATTGAACGTTGCATTCATCCGTGTTGTCCGTGTTCTTCTCCCACGACGACCACTGGTGGTGCTGCATTGCATCGGAGACGGTCTGCTCTGTAAAGCATTGAACGTAGCAAATCTTTTGCTTGACGGTCCAATCTGCGTTGGAAACGAGGTCGAACTCCTCGCTCATGCAGTATTGCACCTGCTTGCCCCCCATCCAATTGGGGCTGTTGGCGACGCCCTTGCAATCGGGGTCAGCATTGCAGTAGTCAATGCCCCCTTTCCAAGCTGCGGCCTGGTCGAAGTAGGCTTTCCTTTCGCTCGTTGAGTTTGACGTCTTTGTGACCATCCCCTTGCATGTCTGCCCAACATGCTCGGTGTAGGACCCCATCGAGGCGGCCGGAAGGTTCGAGATGCCGTCCTCATCCGGAGGAAGGTTCGGGATGCCGTCCTCATCCGGAGGAAGGTTCGGGATGCCGTCCTCATCCGGAGGAAGGTTCGGGATGCCGTCCTCATCCGGAGGAAGGTTCGGGATGCCGTCCTCATCCGGAGGAAGGCTCACGCAGATCAGAGGCGTAGTACCGCCGCAGGCATAGGGAGGGCCCTCATGGTAAGGTTCCTGCGCCATTATGCAATCGTAGTAGTTGGCGACTGTCTTCAGCTCATACTTCACTCCGCAGCACTGGGCCTCCTCCGAAAGGGCCGATTTGATAAACCCTTCGTCAACCATCGCCTGGTAGTTTGTTCGGGGCATGCCGTTGAGCACAGATAAGCCGTTGCAAAGCGCAGTCTCGGCCTTTGTCAGTCCGTCGGGCGAGTCCGTCAGTCCGTCGGGCGAGTCCGTCACTCCGTCGGATGCGCAGATCAGAGGCGTAGTACCGCCGCAGGCATAGGGAGGGCCCTCATGGTAAGGTTCCTGCGCCATTATGCAATCGTAGTAGTTGGCGACTGTCTTCAGCTCATACTTCACTCCGCAGCACTGGGCCTCCTCCGAAAGGGCCGATTTGATAAACCCTTCGTCAACCATCGCCTGGTAGTTTGTTCGGGGCATGCCGTTGAGCACAGATAAGCCGTTGCAAAGCGCAGTCTCGGCCTTTGTCATGCACTTCCCGTTGTCGTCAAACCACGCGCAGTCGCCATTGCACCACGATTTGCCATTGCCCCTGGGGCACTCAGCGCACGACGTAGCGCGGTGTCCGCCGCAGGACACACCAACCTGCGGCAGGGGCGCATGAGTAAAGGGCGGTGGAATGGCCGGATCCAGCCTTGAAAGTACGAGATCGCGCGCGCTTCGCGCGCTGCACCGCCTGTTCTCCGCGGCTGAGTGACGATGTGAGTCACTTCCTCAGCTCTCAGCCCAGCTGGAGCCCCGTTCTCCAGAATTTTAAAGATCGTTTCTCGAACCCCATTCATTTTTCTTGTTATATTAAATACTAATATGGGAAAATTTGAGGATGCCGTGAGACGCATGATTGATGCGAGCGGGGGCGTGGGTCTATCGGACGCCGAGTGCAAATGAGATCAAGAGCGCGCTTGGCACGCGCAGGCCATGTGCTAAGTGCAGGCGCAGAGAATGCATGCGGACACAGCTGACGAGTCGGGAGATGTGGCGAAGCTGTGCACCGGCTGCTACAACGATGTGTTTGACAAGGCGCCATCGCGTGAGATCCCATTCAAAGCCAACTCGCTGAGTGCGCTCTACGCTCAGGTCCGGACACGCTACTTCGAAGCGTCCAGCCCGCCCAAGTCATATACCCAGGGTCTAAAAGCCCTGCGGCGGCTGTGCAAGAGGAAATCTGAGCCTGGCCTTGCCACGTTCCTCGCGGCCCCGCCGGCCGAGCAGCGCAAGCTTCTCCGTGGCAATATGCCAGACATTATTGGTGCTGACGTCATGGAGCAGTACAAGCAACTCTCTTTTGAAGTCCCACTCACCGACAGGCTGAGGCTGACTGCGACTGAAGTGTCTGACTGCAAGCGTCTGAAGCGGGAGGGCATGGAAGTGCAGCAAACGGATGGGCGGCAGACTATCAACGATGTACAACGCCTGATCCGTCACGCCGCTGAGGTCTGCAAGGCATTCAACACTGCTAAGCGGCATCCCTATCTTTCTAAATTGGATGAGTCCTCCTTTGTGCACGAGATTGAGGCTGCTTGGGTGCTACTGTTTATAACGGGCCGCCGTTCGTCCGAGCTCACGAGCGGGTGGTCGACCTTCAGGCCGATGGACGACAACCGCGCCATGCGTGTGTATTTCAGGGGCAGCTTAAGCAGGGGGTAGCTGCTGGTGACGCTGCCCCATACTGTATCCAGACCATTCTTCCGTATGAGCTGTGGCACCCCATGTACGTGTACTACTTCGCCTCCCGGCGCGCAGAGTCGGACGCGGCTCTCAAGGAGCTCGGTCGGACCAAAACCGTTACCTGCCTCAACCACAAGTGGGCCTCAAAGTTGAGGACGCGAGTGAAGCAAATGGTGGGTGTGAAGGTTCACTGTCTTCGGGACATCTACACAGTTGTTGTCTATCGTGTCTTCCATCACTCGGAGCACATTAGCTTTCCCCTCTTCCAGAAGAAGATGCTTGCTTGGTCATCAGTCCGTCACCGAGACGCTGGCTTACAACAAGCCGAACGTGGTGGTGCACAGTATTGAGACAAGCATCCCTGACGACCGCATCAGCATCAGCATGGATGAAGGCTGCCACACCACAGTGTTGGGATATTAGGCCGGCTCATATGAGAGATTTTTATTAACCAACAAGAATATGAGAAGTTTCATGTGACGCTCATATGAGGTTGACGTTTATGTATCTTAAGAAGCTGTTGGAGCCCCTTAGAGACGGTGGCTGGCGTCCAGAGCTGCCGTGGGGCCCAAAAATTGCATCTGTGAGTCTGGTGTGAGTCCGTGGGTGAGACCGCGGTGCATAAAGAAAATCCGATTGGAGCGCGCTCGACTGTTCGCGGCTGCGGCCTGTCCGAGTCCGATGTGGCAGCTCCACTCGGACGCCAGGCCGCCGCGCTGCGTGACGCCGACTGTCGATTCGCCGGTCCTTCTCGGCAGAGCGTCTCACCCCGACATGAGGAGTTGCGTCTCACGGGAGCACGCGACGCTCTCGCCCGCTCCAGACGGAGACGGGAAGCTGCTCCTCACCTCGATCGGCCACGCGGAGACGGGCGTCCGGGGCAGTGCGGGCGCGCCGTGGGTGTGGCTGCAGAGGGGCGAGTCGTCCACCGTCAGCGATGGGTTCGAGATCGCTCTCAGCAGAGGGAAGGCGCCCAGCAGACGATCTCCGCTGCCTGAGGAACCGGATGCGGCGGTGGTGCTGAGGCTCCTCCGTCAGCCTCCGCCGGCGGCGGCGGAAGCCTCGACTGCGTCGGGCACCGCTCCGCTGGCGCTCACCGCTGATGACGAGGGGTTGACGGAGGCGTTCGGCAAGGCGCGGCCCTACCGGATGCTAGACGGGCGCACGGTCTACCTCAACACGCTCATCAGGCCAGAGGAGAGCGAGCCAGCCGCCGCCGCCGCCTCCTCCTCCGCCGCCGCCGCCGAGCAGAGCAGCGGCGGCGCTAGTTGCAGCGGCGGCGGCGCTGGCTGCAGCGGCGGCGGCGCTGGCTGCAGCGGCGGTGGCGCGAGCCCGCCCGAGATTGCGCGGCACGAGCTTCTGTGGAGGCCGGCGGCGCTGCAGGCGGCCCTCCGCCGTCACGCCCGCCCCCTCGTGCCGCAGCGACCGACCGTCCCTCCCTCCCGCCTCCGCAGACGGCGCTCTTCACGTCGTACGGCACCGACTACTCCTTCCTGGCGGAGATGGTCGCAGGCTCGCCCGCGGCGGCGAGGCGGCGAGGCGTCACGGTGGTGGACAACTACGACCACCACCGCACGCCGGCCGGGCTCGACGAGCACACGTACACCGTCCACAACGCCGCCGTCCGCGCAAACTTCTCCGTCGTGCTGCCGCCCTTCTTCAGCGACGACACCGCCGCCGCCGACCGGACGCGCGTGCACCACGGGACGATGCACCCAAAGATGTGGCTGCTCGAGTTCAGCGAGGGCGGCGCGTGCGGCAGCGGCTTCCTGCGGCTCGCAATCTCCTCGGCCAACCTCGGCCGGTACGATGCCAAGATCAACAACCAGGTGTGGGCGTGCTGCTCACCCTGCTGCTGCCGCTGCTCTCCTCTCTTCACGCCTCCGGGCTCACCCTCTGTGTGGACAGGTGTGGGCGTGCGACTTTGTGCGCGCGCAGGACGCCGTCGAGGCTGCTCGCGCGCTCGGCGTCTCGCAGCTCAAGGCGGAGCTCAAGGAGCGGCGAGTCGACGCCGCCGGCTGCAGCGAGAAGGCGGAGCTGGTGCGTGTGGGGCGAGCCCGGCGGGCACAGAGCGAGCGTGCGCCGCCCCCCTCACCTCCGCCGGCGGCTCGCCTAGGCGGAGAGACTCGTCGAGGCGCGCCGAGCCGACTCGGCCGGCTTTGGCGCCGACCTCCTCTTCTTCGTGGAGCGGCTCGTCGGCAGAGCGGCGCCGGAGCTGTTTCGCCAGTGGGAGGCGCTGCTGAGCCGCTACGACCTCACGCCGCCCGCGGGTGCGCCTCGAGTTGGACGGCAGCGCACCGCTCTCCCCTCCCCTCCCGCATCCCTCTTTTGGTAGCTCACCGCCGTAGGCACGCACCTCATCTTCTCCGCTCCTGGCCGCTACTCTGGCCCAGAGGCGGAACGCTACGGCCTCCGCGCGCTGCAGCGCCACCTCAAGGTCTTGAGCGACCGGCCAGTGGCGCAGCGGCCGACAGCGGTCGAGTACGCGTGCTCGTCGCTCGGGCAGCTCGACGACATCCTGCAGCCGCTGCTCGGCGTGCGGCCAAACTACAAGCAGGCGCCGCGCATGGCTGTCCGCGGAGCCTTCCTGGAGGGGCTGCACAAGCCTCCGCACGTCAAGGCGCGAGGTCGTCCTCTCGCCCTCCCCCCGCCCCTCGCTTTGCAGCCCGCCCCGCCCTCCGTCTAGGGCGCGGCGGCGCGGCTGGTGTGGCCGTCTCTGACGGCATCGCTGCCCGCCTTTGCGCGCGGCAAGGGGATGCTCACCATCGGCGGCGGCAAGAACACCATGACGGGCCCGTCCGAGTTCAAGTCGCAGCAGCTCAAGGCGTGCATGGCGCACAATATCGCCGCCGACCCGCGCCGCTCCGCCACTCTCCACCACGTCAAGATGGCCGCCGGCATCGTCCGCCCCCTTCAGCGCGAAGGGCCGCAGCGCGAGGTGGCGCCGCTCTGCGCGTGGGTGTACGCCGGATCCCACAACCTGTCGGGCGCCGCGTGGGGCAAGATGGAGGCCGCGACCGGCAGTGACGACGAGAGCGGGGTCGAGGACGAGGAGTTTGTCGTCATGTCGTACGAGGTCGGCGTGCTGCTGCTGCCGCCGGAGCCTCGCCCCTTTGCGCTGCCGTGGGTGACCGCCGCGGCCCCGTACGACCCGACCGAGGTCAAGCCCTTCTCCACCTCCCGCTACCTCGCCATCCTGCGCGGGCGCGACTCGCGGGCG